GCATCTGAAAAACGCATAGGAAATATGTATCCTGGCATAATACTCTGAGAAGCGAGTCTTTGTCCCCTGTGCTGTTTTACTTCCAAAGCAAGAAGGTGACATCTGTCCATGTTCCACCTGCCTGGGATGTCAGAAACAGAGCAAATGGGTAGGGCCCCATACCAGAAGAGCCCAAGCATCTCAGCTGCACTCAGATGCCAGGAATTTAGGGAAAATGGGAGTGACTACCTACCCCAATGCCCTGCAAGTCCTCCTCCAGGCCTTCTGTAAGAAGAGACAGAAACCTAGGAGGCCATTACTGCAGCCCCTTTCTCCCATCAGGATTCCAAGGTCTGGGGCTTCAATATCTCTGCCAGTTTAGCTCCAAGAAAGTTGGCATCTGAAATCTCAAGGCCCTGGCGCATCCCCCTCTGCCGCCTTATACAGTCACTCCCCAAAGTCCTGTTGAGCAGCTTTTAATATCTCAACAAGAAACCACACTTCTGCCAGGTGCAGTGGTTCACACCTGTAATCCCAGCACTTTGGGAGGCCAAGATAGGTGGATCACCTGAAGTCAGGAGTTCAAGACCAGGCTGACCAACACGGTGAAACACCATCTCTACTAAAAATACAAAATTAGCCCAGCGTGGTGGCACATACCTGTAATCTCAGCTACTTGGAAGGCTGAGGCAAGAGAATCCCTTGAGCCCAGGAGGCAGAGGTTGCAGTGAGCCAAGATAGCGCCATTGCACTCCAGCCTGGGCAACAAGAGCAAAATTCTGTAGAAGGGAGGACAGGAGGTAGCAAGGGAGGGAAGGAGGGAGGGAACAAACAAACCACACCTGCTTATACCTTACCTGGACTACAGCAGCCTTATGAGGTCTCTCCCGGACACTGACAGGGAGAAAGCTGCAAACTCCTACCCTATCATTAGGGCCCCCTTTATGAACTTTCTGGGAAGCAGCAAATGTTTATATCTTGATCTGAGCAATGTTAAAGGTGATGGATGTGTATGTAAGTAAAAATTCATCTGGCTGTAAAGACTCTTAGTTCCATTTATGCACCCTACCATATATATGTTATTCCTCATTGGAAAAGAGTTTTAAAATGCCACTTAAAGTTCTGCGTGTATACTTGGGAAGAAAAAAAGATTACGAAGAATAAAAGCCAGGGTAACATAAAAATGGGGAAACAATGAACATTACCCATACTTGGTGATTTAGGAAAGAGGGTGTTAAACTTGAGTGGCAGGGGAGATGAGAAAATCATATGGATGTGAGGAAAACTGGACTCTTACCCAGCCAATTAAAATGTTTGAAATAAAAAACTAAAACAGTAGACTCTCTACTAAGCCTTGCAGACTGATTCTAGCTGGACTTTACCCCGAATGGTGGAAGGAGGCTTTCTATACTGGGGCAGAATACCATGTGCTTAAAAAACACAGTGGACAATGCTTTGTCATTTACCTGGTCCCCCAGCTCAAGATAATCTGAAAGTACCAGCTCCTCCCATGGTGAGACAATATCCAAGTCTTTAAACCATACCCAAATTTCAGTGTAGATGGGACCCAGGCGGACGTGTGTCAAATACTTCCAAAATATATTATTGGACTCTCAAGATTCCATTTACTGTCATTAGTGAAACAGGCCACATTATAAAGCAGTGGGTTTCCCATTCAGAGGGGAATGTGAATACTTGGGGAATAACACTGAGAAGTGGACTCCAGTCTGAGGAATAATCTTTCTCTTCTCAAAGAGCTCATGTTTTATGGCCTCCTGATGCTATGTGAGGAAAGCCATGGAGGGAGTTAGAACCACAAAAGGGTGAGGGCCTGACCCTATGTTCCACTGACTGTCATTCCAACCAGCTTTTCTTCAATGTCAAGGGCTAGTTTGAGGCAAACATTTTGAGGCAGGGTAGGTTGGTGGGGAAGAAAAATTATATTCAGAGAACAAGCTCACATTCCCAAGTGTTTGCTTGTACCTGAACAGGAACACCAAAATGAATGAAAGGTAGTGTCATCTATCGGGAAAAGAGTGAGCTGGGAGTTGGGCCTTTTCCAAATCTTGGCTCTGATACCTGTTCTGTTTGACCTTAGCCTGCCTCTAGCCCTCTCTGGTCATCAGTTTCATCTGCCATAAAATAAGGCAATTACTTTTTTCCAAAATTCAGTCATGTAAGCCCCATCTTCACTGTTTTCCAGGTTGACATATGCCACATTGTGATTTTTGTCACAGCCACATGTCATCTGCACTGTTTACATTTTCAGTAACAGTTGTCTCACTTCCTCACATTTTTTTCTCGAAATTGACTTTAAAAAGGAAATTTCAGGCTGGGTGCAGTGACTCACATCTGTAATCCCAGCACTTTGGGAGGCTAAGGAGGGCAGATCGCGAGGTCAAGAGATCAAGACCATCCGGCCAATATGGTGAAGCCCAGTCTCCGCTATACAAAACTTCGCTGGGCATAGTGGCATGCACCTGTAGTTCAGCGACTCAGAAGTCTGAGACAGGAGAATCGTCTTGAACTCAGGAGGCGGGGGTTGCAGTGAGCCAAGATCACGCCACTGCACTCCAGCCAGGCAACAGAGCAAGACTCCATCTCAAAAAAGGAGGAAATTTTATAGAATTACCATGGATAGAAATCACTATCGCTTGTCTGAACAGAGGCAGTGATGAACATAAATAAAGAATGATGCTTTTAATTATCTCTGGAAAGTGCTGCCTGTTGAGGACTGGCTGCCTGAGATTCACTCTGTCCTTTGGAAGCAGGGAGATTAGTAAATGGTAGCTGTGTTGAGGACATTCCAGCACCCACCTGAGATTTTCCTCTTTTCTAATCAAAAAGATTGAGAGAGAACTTAAAAGAGAATAACTTCTCACTACAGAACTCAAAGTTAATATCCTACTATATCATCTAATTTATCTCAGTACTCCTGTGAGGTAGCAAACAATTGATATTATCTAAGGTCTTCTCCTGCACTGATATCCCATTTATGCTTTCCTATAGAGAAAGAATGATCACAATTACTGGAAAATCTGAGATACAAACTATTCTGAGAAATAATGTCTTTCAATATCCAAACAGAAATGTTGTCAAAACATTTTCCAATTAGAAGGACCTTGAACACATATTAATAAGCAGATAGAAATGATGTGTGATTTGCATGGTCATCATATATTTTCAAATAAACACTTCCACTTGGTTTGGCAGTGCCTAAACCATTGTCCATCCTCTTGAGTAACTTAAACACTGCCCCCCTAAAATCTTGTTTACACCATTGATTTGCTTAATGAGGCATTTTTTCAGGCAGTATATAAATTTAGCCAGAGCCTATGTCATCAAATTAACACAGCTTCAAAATTAGTGAAGTTCAAATGACTCATGATATCAGAGATATTATTACAAAAACAGATATCAATGGATGTTACGGCCATATATTCATTATAACGAATTAGTTGGATTGACATGGCAAAGCCTTCATTATAGGACTCTCCAAGGGACTCACTTCTTTGGAACTATTTAAATATGACAATACTTAGTTGGACAGAAATCAAATGAAAAAAGCCTCAAATATCTTTGAATGATCTTACATTAATTGATACGTGTAGCCTTTCAACTGTAGCAGAATATTCACTAATCTTAGTTTTTTTCCTTCCTAAGTTTTTTGCCTTTTTGCTTTTGCTAATTATTTATGTGATCTTGGGAAAGTTCCTTTCTCTTTCTGGAATTAATATCCCACATTTGTTTTTAAAAGGGGTTGGAAGTTGGACTGGAGCAGAAGTTAGAATACTTTTTCTGTGAAGGAGCAGATAGTAAATATTTTCAGCTTCATAGGCCATCTGGTCTCTGTTACAACTCAGTCATTACAGGAAAGCAGCTGCAGGCAGTATGTAAATGAATGAGCATGACTGTGTCCCAATAAAACTTTATTTACAAAAACAGATGGTGGGCCAGATTTGGCCCATGGGCCCATAGTTTGCCTTTCTTGGACTAGAAGATCTCTGATTTCCAGCCCTGACATTGTCTTTGTGTTGAAGGGAAGACATTTGCCCAAAGTCTATCATTTAACAGAGCTGGATTGAAACCTGGGTCTCTAAATTTAAGTTCAGAAATCATTTCCCACAGCAGACTACCTGATCAACCAACAAAACTGCAACTACAAGACAGAACATCAAGTAATTACAGTCACTTAGTAACTGGCATCAGAGGCAAGAAACAATGATTTAGGCCATGGCTGCATTTCATTCATCCACCCCTTCACTTGTCTATTCATCCATTTAGACAAATATTTGACAGACAATTGACAAGGCAGGCAATAAGCAGTTAAAAATAAGCCACATTGCCCCTGCCCTCATGCAACTTACAGCCCAGTGGGGGAAAGATACAATGAATGAAAAAAAAAAAAAAACATTAACTACATCATTATGAACAATGCTAAGAAGGTGCTAAGAAGAAAACACACGGAGAAAGGATAGAAGATTTATCTGGGAGTGTCCTCAGGTACAGGAGTCAGAAGAGGCTTCTGAAGAAGAGAGTTTGTAGCTGAGCCAGGAAAGTTAAGAAGCAGCCATGGGAAGAGGAGAAGAACTTCATGGGTTCAAGGAACTGGGGGGAAAAAAAAAAAAAAAACCTGGTGTTGGAGTCAAAGAGCTGACATCCAGGAAGGTCATTTCCCAATGCGAGCCCCAGACTCACGATCAGCAGAATGGAAGTGCCAACGCCTTCCAGGGATGAAGCCATGATGCTGGGGTTCATGTCCTCTCCTCTTTTAATGATATATGAGTCCATTTTCACACTGCTATAAAAATAATGCCCGAGACTGGGTAATTTATAAAGGAAAGAGGTTTAATTGATTCATAGCTCCATATGGATGGGAGGGCCTCAGCAAACTTCCAATCATAGCAGAAGGTGAAGAAAAGGCAAGTAACTTCTTCACAAGGTGGCAGGAAAGAAAAGAATAAAGGAGGAACTTCCAAACACTTGTACAGGTATTGATCGACTTACCACCTATGCAAGTTATGACCATTCAACTTTACGACCACAATAGCCACGACTGCTCCACGTCTGGCAGCACAAACGTTGCCCAGCTGGGCGTACGACAGTGCGGACCAGCTTCCGGCAGCACTACCATCTCCGCGTGCACCGTTTCAACTGTACATATAGCCTACTCAATTTACGACCAAATCATGTTACGACCGGTCTGCGGTCCCAACCATGGTCGTAAGTCGAGCACTAGCTGTAAATCCATCAGATCTTGTGGGAACTCACTATCATGAGAAAAGGATGCGGTAATCTGCCCCCATAATCCAACCACCTCCCTCTCTTAATACATGGGGATTACAAGTTCCTTCCTCAACTTGTGGGAATTACAATTTGAGATGAAATTTGGGTAAGGACACAGAGCCAAACCATAGCACGTGAATACAAGACCAGTAGCAAGTTACTTAACTATCTTATGACTCCGTTACCCTGCCTAAAAGCTGGCATGGTAATCACGATACCCACCTCACTGGTGAGTGGTGGTAGAGAGGTTTAATGAGGTCACCCTGAAAGTGCTTAATAAACATACACTGTAGTTAGGATCAGAAAAATAATGGGGAGGAAGGAAACCTTTTTTAAACTACTCCATGCACAGGCTGTATTCAGTGATTATTTTCATTATCCTCACCATCCTATGTTACAAGTAAAGGATAAATGTATTCCTCAGCCAAAGTCACATTATGATTAATAGTGAGACCAGGATCTAGCTCAGGTCTAGATGATTTCATAGACCACAATTTACCTTGCCTTTCACTGTCATTCCAAGGAAACATCAGAGGCCCAGTTCTGTTCTACAGGGAAAGCCACCCACCCCTTGCTGGTGCCTGAAGAGCCAAGATTCTGGTGCAGGGGCTACAGTTCTGTTCAGAGCGAACAGGGCAGCCATCTAGGCTTGTGAGGAGGGCTCCCTGTCAACCAGGATCCAGGATCCATCCATCATCTCAGTTTCCGTTGTCCATCCCAGTCTCCATTCATCATTGCTGTCTTCATCGTCCATCCCAGTCTCCAGCCATCCATCCCAGTCCCCATCATCCATCCCAGTGTCCATCCATCCATCAGTCTCTATCCATCCATTTATCTATTCCAGTCCCCATCATTCATCCCAGTCTCTATCCATTTATCACTGTCTTCCATCCATCCATCCCAGTCTCTGTCCAACCCAGTCTCCATCATCCATCTCAGTGTCCATCTACTTATCAGTCTCTAATCTATTCAGTCTCCATCCATCCATCCATCCATCCCAGTCCCCATCATCCATCCCAGTGTCCATCCATTTATCACAGTCTCTATCCATTCATCCAAGTCTCTCTCCATTTATCACTGTCTTCATCCATCCATCCCAGTTTCTATCCATTTATTGCTGTCTTCATCCATCCATCCTAGTCTCCATCATCCTTCCCAGTGTCTGTCCACTTGTCAATCTCCAGTCTATCCATCAGTCTTTATCCATCCATCCCAATCTCCATCCATTAATTACTGTCTCCATCCCTCCTACCCAGTTTCCATCATCCAGCATATAGTCTCTGTCCATCTAGCAGTCTCCATTCCATCTATCCCAGTCTCTGTTCTTCATCCATCACTGTCTGTCCTTCACAGTTTCCAACAGATGTCCCCTGTCAGTCAAGTAAGCCAAGCGCCTTCCCTCCTAGGGCTTCCTGTGCTATTTTGTCTCCCCCTTCTACAAACAAGGACCCTAAGGCTCAGAGAACTGAAGTGACCAGCTTGGAGGTCATACAAAAGGGAGATGGCAAAGTCTGAATTCAAACCCAGATCAACCTGATTCAAAATCTACATCTTTTGGTATTTTGTCAAGAAGTTTCTCCTTAAGGATAGAAAACACTTGGGGTAGTGCATGGCACTTTAGGGAGTCCGGTTTTAAGGAATATGATAGGAAATGAGAGAAGGAGAAAGGAGATGGTAGAATAGGGAAGAAGAGAACAGGGCAGAAAGCATTTTCTGTCACAGAACAAAAATGTGGCTAACAAAAAAGTTATCTGGTGAATTATACCACTGTTTCCTCTTTCCTTTCTAAGCTTCAGTTTCATCCATCTACCCCATAGAGGTGCTCTTGTGAACCTCCCTGAAGATGCTTAAAGAATTAACAGAATAGCCTTTTGTTATCTGCATAATCACCAAAGAAATTCTACTGAGAGTTAGTTACCACTGGCTGGGCACAGAGACTCACACCTGTAATCCCAGCACTTTGGGAGGCCAAGGCAGGTAGATCACCTGAGGTCAGGAGTTTGAGACCAGCCTGGCCAACATGGTAAAACCCTGTATCTACTAAAAATACAAAAAAGTAGCCGGCATCATGGCAGTACCTGTAATCTCAGCTACTTAGGAGACTGAGGCAGCAGAATCACTTGAACCCAGGAGGTGGAGACTGCAGTGAGGTGAGATTGTGCCACTGCACTCCAGCCTGGGCAACAGTGAGACTCCAACTCTAAGAAAATAAAAATAAAAATAAAAATTTAAAAACCCATCACTAATTTATTGAGTGCCTACTATGAGCCAGGCACTGTACAAGGTATTTTCCCAACCTTGATTCTAAAAGACCTCTAAAATGAACAACATTAGCCCCATTGTAGAAACAAAGCCCAGAGTGGTTAGGGTTCCACAGTCACAGACAAAGGGCCACAGCAGAGATCTGTCCCTGGAGCTAATTCTAAAACCCCTGTTCTTTGTGCTCTCTCAAGAAATCGATGGGGTTGGCTTCAGTTGGGGAGAAGGCGTGACCTGGTCATGAGGAGGGAAGCAAATCCTCATCCAGAAGCCCCTTCAGAGCACCGTCAGAGGACTACCTGTGATAGCCGTACACCAGCGCGACTCCATGTGGTCCCCCAAATGGCAGCAGCAGCATCACCTGAAGGCTGGTTAGAAATCACATTCATGGACCCCCACCCAGACCCACTGAATCAGCAGCACCTCTGAGTCTGTCGGCAAGCTCTCCAGCTGTTCTGATGCCTGCTAAACTCTGAGAACCTCTGCAGAACACAGCCCCACGTTGCAATCAGTGGCAAGGAGCAACATTGGGCAACCACAGATTGAGAAAATTAGACACGGAAAATCATGCATCCTCCACCAAAGACTCAGAGTTCCTTGTGGAATGGGGAAGTGAATCCAGAAAGCTTCACTTCACAATTAAGAGTTCCTCCATCCTCGCAGGGTAAAGGAATAGAGGCTGAAGCCAGTACGTTAGAATATTCACTGGTGAAGCTAACAAATTAGACTCTTCACTGGCAAGCCAGTCCTGCTTTAGAAAACTGTTGGCTGGACATGGTGGCTCATGCCTGTAATTCCAGCACTTTGGGAGGCTGAGGTGGGCAGATTACAAGGTCAGGAGCTCAAGACCAGCCTGGGCAACACAGTGAAACCCTGTCTCTACTAAAATAGAAAAATTTAGTTGGGCATGGTGATGCACGTCTGTAATCCCAGCTACTTGGGAGACTGAGGTGGGAGAGTCGCTTAAACCCAGGAGGCAGAGTTTGCAGTAAGCCAAGATTGTGCCACTGCACTCCAGCCTCAGAAACAGAGTGAGACTCCGTCTTAAATTAAAGTTCTGCGAAAAAAGAAAAAAAAAAAAAAAGAAAAGAAAGCAAGCTGTGGACCCTGCTGCACCCTCAGCTCATTGTGGGAATTCTATCTCTGGTCAGGTAGTGAATCTAAACCCTCCACAACACAGGGCTTGCTTTTTCTTTGTGGTTCTCGCAGGAGATACTGCGCGCATACTCGCAGCAGATACTGAAAACGAAAGTTCTCTTCGCAGTTCCCAACTTGGCAGCCCTTTTGCTTTTGAGTTTATTGATTGCCTTGGGACTGAAGCTACAAAGTATGGATTACAGATGCTTGAAGAACATTTATTAACTCCAAGGGGGGAAGAAGTTGCGAAATGAAGTAGTTATTTAATCAAATTCTACTACTACTAATATCTTGCCTTCTTTTTCTTAAATCAACCTAAAATGTGTGGTCAAAAAATATCTGACTTCACTTTATTGTGGAAACATTCAACATTGAAAAGCAATGGCCCATAATCTCGGCACACTAACAGATTTTCATTTTTGCCCATTCTGTTTCAGGCCCTGTTTTCATAATCATACACAATTTTGCATGGTTGTGATTACACAGAAGCGATATTTAAGTCTTACTTTCTTCCCAGTTAAAGTTTCAGCCTGAATGAATTCATGCGTTATCTTCAGGATGATCATTTTCAGTTTCTGGACCATGGACACATGTTTTGGCATAACACTTGAGCATGTCACAGTGAGTCGGAAAGTATTTATTGAGCTCCTGCTATGTGCCTGATGCAATTCTAGGCCCCCAAGGATCTAGCATAAATGAGACAAAGCCCTTGCTGTCCAGACTCTAGCAGCCTACAACTCTAGGGAATGCCATTTGCATCCTGCGTAACACACTGGGGAGTTACTTCGTTAGGGCAGATTCCTTTCCTTCCTCTAGGGGGCAGGTAAATAGAACTGAAGGCCAGAAGCAGGCCGAAGGATGCATGCACCTTCATGACTGTTACTTCCATAATATTACTACTGATAAAAGAAAAACGTCACCCAAATTTATTTTAAAGGAGTTTAATGGGGCAATGAACAATTCATGAATTGGGCAGCCCTCAGAATCAGAGCAGATTCACAGAGACTCCAGCACAGCCACGTGGTGGAAGAAGATTTATAGATAAAAGAAGGGAAATGACGTACAGAAATCAGCAGTGAAGTACGGAAACAGCTGGATTGGTTACAGGTTGGTGTTTGCCTTGTTCAAACACAGTTTGAACACTCGGCAGTCTGAGTGGCTGAAGTATGGCTGCTGGGATTGACCAAGACTGAGTTACTGTTACAGATGCATACTCCTAAGTTAGGTCTTCAATCTTGTCCGGCTGTTAAGCTAGGTTACGGTTCATCTACAAGGACTCAAATATAGAAGTACGGAGTCCTTCTCAGGCCACATTTAGTTTGCTTTAATACTACACTGTTCTCCCAAGACATTTTACCAATTTTCACTACCAACAGAGACAGCAAATGTGTCATTTTCAACAGAAACTCATCAGCATTGAGTGCTAACATTTTTTTTCAAATATTTGCCAACTGAGTTAGTTTACAACAGTCCCTGGAGACAAACTATGGATTTAAATGTGCTCCCTGGCAGTCTTATTCTTCCTTCAGAGGCTTCTTTCAGTATATGAGATGATACTGTTGTGGACTGAATGCGTCCCACACCCAAGTTCTTATGTGTAGTCCTAACCCCAATGTTATGGTATTAGGAGATAGCAACTCTGGAAGGTAATGAGGTCATAAGAGTGGAGCTCTCACAAATGCGGTTAGCGCAAACACAAAAGAGTTTGCTTCCACTCTCTCACTCTCTCTCTCTCTCTCCCTACCCTCCACCATGTAAGGACACAATGAGAAGGTCATCTGCAAACCAGAAAGTGGTCCTCACCAGACACTAGACCTGCCAGTGCCTTGATCTTGGACTTCCCAGCCTCCAGAACTATGAGAAATGTTTGCTGTTGAGCTGCCTAGTCTACAGTATTCCATTATAGAAGTCCAAACTAAGACAGACACTCTCAGATGATGAATGTAAAACCATCTTTGCAAAAGTTATGTAAGAGAGAAAATTGTAATAGTAAGCTAACCCAAACCCCATCTAGCCCTTCCCTTAATTATTCCTGGGCTACTGGGCCAGGCTAACTTTGGAAGACATTTAGGCTATTAGACATTTAGACATTTAATCAGTTTTTCACATGCTATGCAAATGGCATACCTGGTCCAACCAATCTTTTCCACCCTAAATCAGATACCACCTCCTCAAGCTCAACTAATAGACCTTGACCAAAACTCAACCACTTTTGTAAAGCTAATGGCAGGCCATTAGGCTGCGAGGAGAGAAGGCTGAATCCTGTTAAGGCACAGACATTATTCCAGAGATTACAAGATAGGCAACTTCCCCAATTACTCATGGAAGTAACAATACTGTTGTAGGTTGGCCTTTTGGGATATCTTTCCAGGTTTTCTGCATGTCTGACACACATGGCTCCACCAAGACAAGCTCCTGTGGTCCCCACCCAGAAGCGATTCAGCCCACAAGAGGAGAGTTTTAACCCTCTATGAGTTCATCTCAACCAATCAGCAGCAAGCATCTGTTACCTGATCGCCCTGACCCCTTCCCCCAAACCACCTTTGAAAATCCCCTACCTATGAACGAGATGATTTCAGTGCAAACTCCATCTCCCATGTGGCATGGCTAGTCTTGCGTCTCTTAAAGTCTTTCTCCACTATAACACCATACTCTTTCTTTATGTAATGGGTAGGAGAACCCCTCAGGCAGTTACAAATGTCAGAGTTAAAACAGGCACTGATACACTTGAATGGTCTTCCTAGAGCATAAGGCAGGAGAAGAGTTTCCCATCGGGGTTTAAGTTTTCTCTGTGGAATAATCTAGACTCTCGTGTTGGGCATGAAAAGGAATGAGAAAGAGAACAGCATCCTCCAAAAACCCTGACCACCCAGGCAACACCCTGCTCCCCAGGAGGAACTGGCTTCCCTCCCATCATTGGCTCCCTATGCCCTCAGGAGCCCCCACTTCCAGCCCAGACACTTCCTCCTCGCGCAGGTCTTTCCTGACCTCCGTCCAGAAGGCAGGGCTGGAGGTTCCCCACCATCCCTCCTTGCTGGGGCAGACCTTGACTGAGGCCCTTTGCTATAGGAATAGTGAACTTGCCTTTTCTCCTGGGTTTTTTCCTATCAGGCCAAGAAGGCCCAGGACCTGTACTCAGCTGCCTAGTGTCCCCAGCAGTGACACATTCCTGGCTCAGTACAGGTTCTCAGCCAATGTTTGCATGACCCAATGCAGCAGAAGGGTTAGAAATAGAGTAGATACTCTGGAAAAATTGTTAATAGAAGATAAGTCACAGTCACCAGCCTGATGTGATCCTTGCCAATCTAATCCTTCAGAAATCCCCAATGAACTCCAGATTCCTGGTGACGCAGGAGCTAGAAATTATTTAGACAGATATAAGGGTAAAAGAGTCCTCAGCAGACTTTCCCTTTTAACAAAAAGCAGTCCCCAAATCATTTCTTTTCTAACAAAGAGCAGCCTGAATAATTGAGCTGCAGACATAGATAAGCAAGCTGGAAGCTTGCACAAGTGAATTCCGGTAGCTGTGACAAAAGAAAAGAGCTACATGGGGGCAGGTATGTTCAACATGGAGGCTCCATCTTCTCTTCTTTGTCACCATGTGTACAGTAAAGAAACAGGCAACAAGGCACCAGCCAGGCAGAGAACCATTTGCAAAACAAAAGATTAGGGTGAGGACAGCCAGAAACTCACACCCTATGCAAATGGCACACCCAGCCCTAACCAGTTTTCACATGCTATGCAAATGGCACACCTGGTCCAACCAATCATTTGCACCCTATGTAAATCAGACACTGCCTCCTCAAGCTCATCTATAAAACCTCTTGCAATTCACCGTGAAAGCAGCAACCCACTTCTCCAGGACCCCCCTCTGACACAGAGAGCTCTTCTCTTTCTTTTGCCCATTAAACTTCTGCTCTGAACCTCACTCTTTATGTGTCCACATCCTAAGATTTTTGTGGCTGTGACAGAACAAATCTCGGGTGTCACCCCCAGACAATAACACCACTTCAATGGATTCCCTTCCCTCAGCAGCTCAGCAACATTAGCAGGTCTTAGGTGTTTTTCCCATTTAATCCCAATCACTCTTTTCCTTTTATTTAATTCAGATGTCCTTAATTCAGACTTTGCTGCTGTTTACTGACATTCTTCAAGTTCTCACATGACTGTGTTCCATTTTCTAACACTACCCTAATCCTGTATTTCAGAATAGAAAAATGTATTTTACGATTCTTGGGCTTCAAAATGAAAGAAATAAAAATAGTCTCATATTTCATGAGCACTTTACACAGTACTACCCTATTCTCAATCCTCAAAAACAGCCCTGAACAGTGGTAGGGAAAGGAACCAGGTTACCTGCCTGAGTCACACAGCCAGTAAATGGCAGGTAGGATGTAAATCCTGGCAGCCCCTGCCCCAGGTCATGGGCTGTTTCCTCCATAGTCTTGCTGTAGTCAATATCAAATGCCTGACAACTCTCCTTTAGCTTGGTCACTGGCTTCCATGAGGATACCGGTAACTTCTCATGCCTGTTGTCCTGCTGTTAGCAAATGGAAGTAAATGCTAATGCTGTCTCAGTGTCACAGGACTATAAAAAGGAGAATCATGGGCTCCAAAGCCAACTGGAAGTTCTGGAGCCTTTGATGTGTCTTTGTGTTGCTCATCAGAACAGCTTGTTGCAAGGTATAATGTCTACTTTGAGAAAGCCCCAGCATGGCTCCTAGGCCTAGGTTGCCACAACACCCATAAATTGCAGCGACACTCATGTTTACTCCATCTCTGTCTGCTCTTCACAAATGGAATTCACACAATTCAGGTGAGCTGGAGAATCAGGCTTATGGGCATGCCATCTGGATTTGAAAGTGGAAAAATGTCCATGCTAGAAAGATGTTGGAAACAGTCAGCTGAGTCCTCTTGTTTTACCCATAAAGTTCAAGATCCTAGCCCCACTTTGGACCTCAGACTCCTCATCTGAGGGAAAGTTGAACTCACTCCTCCATTGAGGTTCATTCTAATCTAACCATCTAAGAGACTCGAGGCCCCACTGGGGCTCAAATCCAGCTCTCTGGCCTGGAAGTGCACTGATCTCTGGCCTGGAAGGGAACACGGCAGAAACAATACACAAAAATGAAGCCAAGCATACTTCTTCTAAGACAGCAAAAACAAGGAGCCGTGGCCCATTTGGGGGCT